TAATATGAACTTCTCGTTGATTCCCAATATATTGCACAAACAATTTGATGCATGACAAGGCTACCGAGGTCATTCGTTCAAGCCCAATTTGCGGTATGTACCGCTTGATTGGTGTTTGCCACCTTTAGACATCTCTTCCACCGCCGCAATATCTGGCTGTCCGTGAAGGGTCGAGTGTATGCTGTGTCAGTTCGACCATTTCTGCTATACAGCACAGAATTTTGGCCATTACGGAGACAGGATAAAAATAGATTGTTGCTATTCGCTTTCTACGTAGCTTTGCTCGAGTTTGGTGGGGACATCGGACGAGCATTGCTGAGGTTAGGCGCAGATTTTTAGGTATTTACGGTCGTCCGCTGGAGCAAGTGGTCGACCTCCGTAGAATACGTTGGTCAGGGAATATGGTACGCATGTCACCAAATAGGTTGTCACGGTGCGCGATGTTTGCCGAAGCAGGTAGTGGATGGAACAAATCCAAGATCGATCAAAATAAGACCTGAAACAAGGGGATGAAAATTCCAACAAGGAAACTAGGGCATATGCCTAACGTTAGGCTCTCTGGTGGGGACATCTGGATCATTGTAGTCAATGGTTGGAGACGCTGAGTGATATAGCTGAGTGTCGTAAACAGTTGCATTCCTGCACCTTCTCAGTTTCTTTACAACCTTAATTCACTGAAAGTTCCCATTTTCTCTTGGGTTCTGCTTCCAACTTTCCTGTCTTTCTCTTACTGTTCATCCAAAAGACAGCAACCAAAACCGGTGCACGGATTCGCATGGTTAGTGGTTGTACAAACTGTAACTAAAACTATGTACTGCAGCTGTGAATTTTCTGGCATCAGATCGATCATATGCTTAAAGGCCCGTGACAGATTTTCAGTTTTATCGTGTAACCACGATACAGACAGTGTTGAGGTATTGTATGGGCGTTCATTCTCGTGTTGGGACATTCATTACTGAATGGCTGCATCGGAAATTGATGTCTACGGACAAAAGACTCATCCATATGGCCGACCGAAATGACCCATGTTTTTGACGTAGCGGTCACGTCGACGTGTTGTGAGGTACTACTCACTTGTGAGAAGTACCAAAAATATGATGATGATGATCAAAAATATAGCAAGACCATTAAAGGCCAAGTGATATCTTTTGAAGAATAACTACTGACTGCTCTGTACATTACTCTGTGTGTCGGGAAGAATTGCGATGGAACGTTTCTGATTAGGTTTTTGTGTAATGCATGCAAAATTATTGACCTCCCAGCTGTCATCATCATCATCATCGTACAACGAAATACAGTGAAGCGAACTTCGCTGACCGTTACCAAACTCACTATGCATACAAGGTGTGGTAAAATTTAAGGTGGACAGGGGTTGGATCCATTTTGAGGAAGGGAGAAGAAGATGAGCCACTATGGTCTACACTGAGTACGCAATCGAAGTCGCATACATACCGTTTCAAGCATTCTGACCTGATAAGAAACGACAACAAGAACGCCACTGCTGCCGGTTCGCTGCCATATCCTTCAATGTATCCAACCAACCAGTTGTGGAGTCTTTCGGACCCCAACCTGGAAGGCGAGAGATACCTACTCTACCTAATGGCTCCCTGCATTTCTTCATGCTTCGTCTCCACGTCATCTGTTGACCTCCACGTGGTTTCCTCCAGCCCGGATTAGCTACAGCGAATAAAGCGCGGTGCAGCAGACGATGACTGGGCATACGCTATAGGTGCCTTAGCCACCGAAGCCTAGTAATCTGAATTCGGTATGCTAGCAGGTTTATGCGTGACAGACTCCCAAACACACGACGGCTTACCGCCACGTTATTAACCCGTTCGCTCCATCCAACATGGGCTAAACTGCGTGAACACCGATAGTCAAAAACTTCTAGTCGACGGATATCTTCTACTCGCAAATTCAAGGTCTCACAACCATAAAGCAGGACTGAACGAACGCTAGCACACTATACACGACCTTTTAACTTCAGTGAAACGTCGCGTCTACGCCAAAGGTGTTTTAGTCCTGCGTATGTTGCTCGAGCCTTGGAAATGCGGCGGTTATTTCCTTTGCTACACTACCGTCATTGGTCACGCAACTACCTAAGTAGGTAAAGTAATCCCCCCAGCTGT